GGTATTGTACTCACAAATATTTAACAAGAAAAGCATTGATGCAAAGCATCAAAGGGCGACGCCAAAAGAATTTGGTCCAGTATTGCACCTACATACTGAACAAAAGATGTGTACTTTATAGCAGTACCATTACATGTGACCTGGAAGCTACATGTAGGCCCAGTTTAAGTTGAAACTTAAACCAAAAATAAAAGACTCTGTCTTGCCAAGATGCAAAGACAATTTATAGTCAATTAACCAATCTTATAAGACTCATTCTATAAGAAAGAATTTCTTCAGATTTATTTTACCAGATACAAATATACCTGATCATCAGCATATAATCACAGGCACGAGTGTTCATCTTAAAAGTGTCAACCCCCCCCCCCCAAAAAAAAAATGTAAATAATGACCCCATTTTAAAATATACTATTAACTTTAAGTATATTTTTAAAGGGGGTCATTATTTACATTTTTTTTTTGGTTTTTCACACTTTTAAGATGAACACAGGTTTTTTTATCAATCTGGTCATATTTTTTCTTCCCAGGTCTGATACTCGTGCTTGTGCATATAATAAAAGCTTAATTATTGCTTAGGGTTGCAGACTTGTCATTGACATATATAAGACATAAAAGAGGACCTAAAATGAACATCAGGGGGACACCATAGGTACTCAGAGCAGTAGTAGAATGAGTACCAGCCACATCCACCAGCTGCTGTCTATCAGAGATAAGACTTGAACCATGTAAGAATGTCATTACATATGGCAGATGCTTGATGTTTCATGAAAAAGAAGAAAAAGAACTTCTTCATGTGCATAGTGTGATCAACTGTATCAAATGCCCTTTGTAGATCTAAAAGTATCATGCAATACTGCCTTTGTCCATTTCAAATTTAATACAATCTGTTAAATGAATCAAACATGTGTCAGTTAAAAAACCACTTCTAAACCCTGACTGAAACTGCCTGACCATGACTCGAACCCATGACTTTCTGAAGACCAACTGAGCTATCCGGCCGGCTACACATTTTCTCTTTAATAATAAAACAGTTCTAAACCACAACATATCTCCCCACTATATTGATTTGTGTCCTTGAATTTCTGATATTTACAGAGCATATCGATTAAACTCATGGTTATATGCAGTCACAGGATGAGAAAAACTTTCAGCTTGATCAGAACTCAAACCTGTGACCCACAGAATAATGAACCGCAGCTGTAGCAATTGGGCTATCTGGCCGCTTACACATTTTCTCCCCTAAATAGCGAAAAGGTCTAAACCGTGACAGATACTTTTAGATTTTTATATTAACAGATAATTAATTCTTAATTAATAAATAAAAAAAGAAACCTTACATACTCATAGTCTTAATTAAAATAACAATTTATATATTATTGTATAATCATTTTTACTAAAAAGGGCTTAGACAGTTATTGGTTGTGCCATTATTTATAACAGGTCAATTTGAAAGTGAACATAACTGTGCTAATACATGTAAAATATCTATTTTTTGTACAGATAAAAAACTAACCTTTTTTCCATGATAAGAAATTTTTTGAAGACTGATTTGTATTTTGCATCAAGGGCACCGGGTGAAAACACGAAAATGCAACAAACGACCCACTTTGTGGTAGGTTGTTTTTTCATGTTTTCATCTGGCGCCCGGTTACTTTTTGTACTTTGCTAGTTTTTCATGTGGCACAAATCACCCACTATAAAATTTAGTGCACAAATTCATTCAAGGGCAAGTAACAATCTACTCTATGAAAAGTCTGTTGTCGGGTTGACTCAGGAGACCTGGAGGTTGAGACCAGTGTCCCTCCATTACAAATAGATAAGACAGAAGCTGTCCTTTTCAAACATTGCATCCTTTAATAATAATGACATAACTGTAACTCTTTAAATTCTAAAATATATTGTAAGTCTCATCATATCAATATATTAAGATATACATGTATGCACATAACATTAATAATTCCCAGTTTCTATTAAATAAATATCAAATCCTAACATTAACATTAACATTGGTACTAATGGATGGAATTCAAAATCTAGTAGAAAGATCTATAATGTATAAAATCTATTAAAGATACTATTATTAGCCAGCTAACACTGGGATAAACATCTATAACCTGTAGACTGATCAATACATCATTTATAAATTTAAATGCAAGTCTCATCCATAATAACTGTAAGTCTTTAAATACAGAAATACACATTATATCCATATACTACAATACACATGTATGCACATTACATTAATAATTCCAAGGTTCCATTAAAAATAAATTAACATCCTATTAACATTGGTGTTTGGATGGGGTTTCATAATCTTGTAGAAAGAAAACTATAATGTACATGTATAGTATAAAAGTAAAAAAAATCTCAAATAGTCTATAATTATATAATAAAGATTGAGTTGTGTGAGTGTCTAAACATTAAATGCATATCTCTTACAGTAACAAAGTACTGTCCCACTCTTTTAACCTTACATTAGACTTTACTACAGTTTGTATATAACTAACTGCATATATATCAAGTGTTTAAAATGAGCACCTATATGTTAGCTCTACCTTTCATTTTTACCAAAGGTTATTTTATTAACAATTTATATAGAAACACATAGAAAATAATAATTAGTTTCACATATTGATTAGAAGATTCATCTAGCAGAAATACCTGTACATGTTAGGTATGTACTCACTGAACAAACTAGAAAAATCCTGGTCTAAGGTATATAAAGCCAGTGAAATTTTTTATTATCAATATTCACTCATCAGGGTCTCTATGCTTTTGATGACCATACAACGGGTAAATTTTATACAACAAAAATGGAAGACGGACAAAACCCCACCAGTTAAAACCCCACCACTCAAAATTTTATAGAGTGGACAAAACCCCACCACTAAATTTTATAGAGTGGACAAAACCCCACCACTAAATTTTACAGAGTGGACAAAACCCCACCACTTCAGTTTTATAGAATGGACAAAACCCAACACTTACCAATTATTGGGCAAGATTTGATGAATTAAAATATATATAATATACACATTTTTTTCACATTTTATTTTTTTAATTTCAATATAACATTTGTGTAATATAAGAATGAACAATTTTATTAACAATGCATGTACATCTTGCATGTGCAATATGCAAAAAAGGTGTTACAAACTGTACACACCTTGAATCATCCATTATTATTAGTTTTTTCAAATTCATTTCTTCAATTTATTTATATAAAAAATAAACTACTTACTATTAATCAAGAATATAGCACATTTTCATCAATTAATGATTAAAAAATAACACATTTTGAATAGCGCATTTCTAGTTTATTCAGTTGAGTCTATTTCCTTCATTGTACTTTGTTTAAGCGGATACAGTGGCCGATAGCCTGAAGAAACTCTGGTACAGTCTTCTCCTTATTGATGAGTTGTTCACACATTCTTTTGAGTTTCTGATGATGCACAATTGTTCGTTATTTAACATGTTTACAAGAAAGTTTTGTCCACTCTATAAAACTGAAGTGGTGGGGTTTTGTCCACTCTGTAAAATTTTGTGGTGGGGTTTTGTCCACTCTATAAAATTTAGTGGTGGGGTTTTGTCCACTCTATAAAATTTTGAGTGGTGGGGTTTTAACTGGTGGGGTTTTGTCCTACATTCAACAAAAATAGTAAGTTATACCTAGATAGACAGAAAATAACAAATAATTTAGTAACATGAGTTACTTCCCCTTAAAATAGAGAAAACCTGAAACCCAAAAGAACACCCTAAACAGCAAAATTATGAAACGTTGCAGGCTGAGTTTTATTAAGCCATGCAAATTAATGGTAAAGTATTCATAAAAAAATAGATGGCCATGTGACAGCAGTAATTGCAGAAAATCGGATAGCTTTCAACATCCGGATACTGGTACACTTTGTAAAAACAATCATTCTGTGCAATAGATAAACGTAATATGGATAAAATCAATAGGACAATATTACAACAGTTCATTACCTATCCTTATACTCATTTGCAGGTGAATGTTCTTCTTGTAGGAAAAATTTGAAAATATATAAATGAATGAATGAATGGATACGGCATCAATGTAGACCACAACGATATTCGAAATCCGGGTTTTAGTATTGTCAATTAAAATAAGGGACAAGCTGTTAAACTGGGCCTGCAATTTCGTGAAAATAATATCACAATGCATATGCTTTTTACATAAAGTTATTAAATACAAATATAACAACATATTTGTTTACTTGATTTTTACGAATCAAAATAAAACTAATTAACACAACATGACATTAACTGCTAATAATAACAGCTCCTTCCATAGGCAAAAATAAATAGAGGATATTCAAGTTTTTTCTATAAATACATGATTTATTTTCATCGAGTGGTATGAAAATAAATATTTCATGAGTGGCGGTAGCCACGAGTGAAATATGGTCATTTTCATGCCACAAGAAGAAAATACATCATGTATTTATGGAAAAAACTTGAATTTTCTGTTTATTATATACATTTTTATCATTTTTGACATTAAAATTTGAAAGGCTTTCCCTTAAATTTTGTGTACTGGCAGAATTTAAAAGAAAGTAGTCCGGCAAGACACCAGTGAAAATACGGAAAATATGTTTCACTGCAGTGAAAAATAAATTTTTTCAGTGAAAATACGGAAACTGAAAATACACATTTTATTTCATCAATATTTCACAATATTTCATTTATAAGTATATAATAAAAAGCATTCCATAAGAGACGACGCCGCTCACCGGCGTCGCCAATAACCTCAAATTATCACACACATAATTATGCATGTTTTGCGACTCCGTAAAACGAAATTGCATGGCACTGTATATAATTTGACAAGTCGTTACACAAACAGCGTGAAAGCACAATGAATGTAAATGTAATGATGGGATCAATTAAAGATGTATAGTAACTCTTGTTTTTTAATGTTAAACTGTATTTATTTTGGATATGTGATAAATGCAACACTAGATCTATATTCGTGAGTGTTCAAAACAAAATGTATCGCACTGTCGTGTTAAATAATGCAGTATTATGCTCGTCATAGGCTCATATATAGTATTTTAATCAACTCTTTAAATAACAAAACTAAACTCATTCAAAATTCTCTATCAATGATCTAAATCTAGACAAAATATATTATATACATTACTCGACGTGATAAATCATGGACAGTTTTCTTTAGCAAGATCAAATATTGATATTTATTGTAAATATTTCTGTCACATTATAAAATAGCAACATATGTTATAATTATAATGCTTGGAAATGGGTGTTAGTATAATAGATATTTTAATGCCATACATTTGAGACTTTGGGATAATTTATATAATTATTCCAGTCTAATGCAAAAACAACAATGTATAGTCATTCTACAAGAATCATAAGAACTTAAACATATAAAATATAATATCACAAATATTGAATATCAGTATTAAACATAACAATTTTTCAACGAGAATATACACAACTATTTAAATATTCAGATCATACTTCATGAGTGACTGGAAATGGTAACAGTTGTTATTTTTAAGATCAATTTAAAATTTGAATGTCAAACACTGGGAATGTTGTATCTGTACATATATCATCATGATAAAATTGTTACCATTTCTAAAAATAACTACTTACAACTTAAATTTTTACTATACAATGTGTTATTTTAGAATGTTTGATAATAAATTAGGGGTTAATAAACATATTTTGATTGAAAGTCGTGAGGTGGTTAAACAACACTTCTAATATAATGAAATACTTAAATGGTTCATCACGATGTTACAAGGAAATAAAAATTAACAAATTTATACTGTATTTATATTTTACTTAAAGATTGCCATGAATTATAACAAATATACATAAACTACAAACCAATACGTTAAAGCTTCTTTTAACAAAAAACAGTGTTTCCAGTCTATGAGTTTTTTACCGCCAACAAAGGGTCGATATATTATTCCCTATATGAAATACATGTGTCGTAGTGATTATTCTGGTAGTTAAATAGATTATTTTTAATCAAATTACGTAGCATAAAATAAAAATAAGAGCATAAAATTAAAATGAATACGCGATAGTTGTATAAACATATATCAGGAACAACATCAATTGTATTGAGCAGACGTCATCGTGTAAAAATAGCATAAATAAAAAAAAATGGTTGATGATACAATGTATATTTTAAAAAAAAAACCCGCCGGAAGTGAAAGACGTGAAGGTATAGGCCATCTACACAAGTGCTGCTTTTGCCCCGTATTGTGATAGTATGTGTGCAAGTCGCTGCCATTTATCCTACAATAAACATTTGTGCTAATGTTTTATAATCGTATTCATATAAATAAAGAAAACAACATTTAATGAAAATATTCAAATAATTTAAACAATATTCTAGTATTATACAACACAGTTATTATTTTTACTATATTCATAGTAATTACATATATTTTATGGTATATATTGTCATTTAAGGTGTGTATATAAAACATGTGTGTAACACAGCAGCGGCGATCTTGTTGCACAGTATTGGCCTGCTATTCGAAAAGTCAGGGGTTTGATCCGGACAATGACATTGGTCATCAAAATTGTACCCGTATCTTCCTTGTCATATATATTTACCGAAATAATGTAGATACAAACCGTAAAATGAGACATCATATTTGAAAAGTAGATTAATGATTTTTCAATACAGCCAATATAGATTTGTAAAATTGTTAAATCAACGATAAAAAATATAACTAGAAGATGTACTTAAAATAGTGTAAAAAAATTGTGTACCTTAAGTGTATTCAGATGAACCTGAGAACTTTTATCTAATTTCTCCGGATGACGGGCAAATGCGTTCTGTATGATCTCAAACGAGTTGCCATGGAGATCTGCATCTTTCATCGCTGTGTCCATATTCTAACACAGAGAGGAAAATCAATGTTTTAAATGTAATATTCATAAAAATGAAGATACTAGTAGTCTTTGATTGAACGCCATTTTATAACTTATTCATATGAAAATGTTCTGCATCGTAAACATTTTTACAGAAGAACATACATGAGATGTTACCATGACTAAGGCATTTTGCAGCAATGATAAGGCAACTAGTATTCTAAATATTCGTCATTATTCCTCGATGCCTGACTTAAAATTGTCATTTTGTGTACAGAACTTTTCAGGGAAGAAAGTGTGTAAGCCATCATAAAGCTTAGTCGCTTGAGTCGTGAAACGGTATTCCGATAGTACCAGGTTCGAGTTCCGGTCAGACTGCACCTTTGTCTCACCCTGTGACACATGTATTGTTTTGATTTACTTGTATTCAGTATGATAAAATCACAATTTGCTATTAACAGTTTTGATTTTCATCTTAAACACTATAAAAACACATCATTATTGTCATGATACAGTAAAATATATGTAACGCTGAGCTATTATAACAACTTCCCTGTTTGTGGTATACGTTTGGAAAAAGTGCTTGATTGGTTTTGTTAGTGTTTTAGATTATAAAAGTCATATGACTATATTCCTGTGTTGGTTTCACTTGCGGAGAAAGACCGTAGATAGCATTCAGTGCATTTGTTCTCAAGTAGAACAATAACTTTTCATATACAAGCTTGTTAGTTTCCTCTTCTTTAAACCCGGTGGTATGATTGGCAGATAAATTAAAGTTAGAGAACTTAATAACTCAGCTGCGAAGATTCTAGGTAACGATTTTATTTTTGAATACATCACATTGCTTGTTGTGGTATAAAGATATTAAAATCATACAACAAACCTCGATAGCAAACAGCAATTCAGTGATAACTTCCGTAGATGACCGAAGGTATCCGCTTACAGCTTCAAGTCCACTTTCCGCGTCTCGAAGTTCATCTGACAATAATGATAAATGTAATTAAAGCGTTTGAAAATCTGCTTTTTTAGAAACAATAAATTAAACACTTTTGTAATAAACAGTGTATTAAATGAAACCAAATTACTAAAGACCTAAAAACTTGCACACCATTAAGAGGTAAACTACTGTATCTAACCCTTAAATAAGTATGACTCGACTCAATTATAGATACATACCCATACTTGTTTCAAGTTTTCTAATTTCGGAGAGTAATTTATTTTTTTCCGCTACAAGTGTGTCTCGTTCTGTTCTTAATCTCTGAGCCTCTTGTCGTTTAGAGTTAGCCTCGTCTCTCAGACGTCGAGCATTTCTGTTACAGTCGTCTGCGTCATTCAGATTAACGCCCGCGTGAATACCAGCTGCTGCCGTAGCAATTGCGAGACTTGCACCGCCTTAAATAATAAAATAATTATTGTTTTTAACCTTTTTTTGCAAAACAAATTATTTATTATTAACGTATTTATACGAAGTCCGTCTTATATTATTCACCAAACAATACTCACCTGCTATGAATCTGGAAAAAAAGAAACAAAGCAAAAACCAAAAATGGAGAAAAATATGATACAAGTAATTGGCCGATGAGTTATTGTTTGGCAACAAAATGAAAATATGTGAAAGATAGACATAGAAGCATTTGTGTGGCATAACGGACCTTTACACCGGAAAACCTCCCTGATTACTATTTGACTGTATACTTCATAATAATATTTCAGTGACTTTTTACTTATATCTTTAATCGCTGTATTACATGTTATATAACCTTCAAATATATAGAATGATTCCTTTATAAGAATCAACTTTTGGTTTCATACATGTCAAACATTTTGTATTGTAAATTTGTATAGAATTGTAAATGTGTATGAAATAAAATATCTTTAAATATAGATCAATGCATGTTACTATGAAAGATCAATTAACATCTTTGAATTACAGAATGGTATCACGGTGTATTGTAAAGCAATGTGGAGAATCGTCTAACACGGCAATCACGGGGAATCTGTGTATGACGACAAAGTTCAACTTCTAAAATATTGCAGATTTTACTGGTGTTTTGATGCTCTAACTAATATTTGAAAAAATAAGATCACCTTTTAAAAGGTTCACAATGTTTTAATAATTTATTATGTTTTTTTATAGTATTGGACCTGTCGGAAGGAATCTAGCTATACCATGTAGGATCGTCAGATATTCCGTGCAAGAGAGGGGATGTGGTCCTCATATGCTTATGGAGAAGGCAAGACATTTCAAACAATTTGTAGGAAGCCATGAGTAAAATAGAATACAGGCACTAATCAGCTTTAACTTTATATGTATGCAGCTTATTTTACCTGTAAACGGTGCAAGTGCAACACCAACTATTCCACCAATCACTCCTCCAAAAAGTCCTCTCTTCTTTTTCTTCCTTGCCGCTCGCCTGAGATTCTCGGCTTGAACATCTAATTCATTCGAACTTTGTTCAATATTACGAACGCTTTCGTCGTGCGCTCTTATTTTATCCTCCAGACTTGAGATTTTTTTAGGGAGAGATTCAAGTTCAATGTTGACATTTTTTCTACTGGTGTCGTGTTGTTTTCTTCTAGTATGACATCTTTCAATATTTATATGAATATCGCTCTCAAGGGAGATTATGTCTTTTTGCTCGTATTGAAGAGACGTTCTTGCACGTTTTAAAATAGTTCTTAAAGTATCGACTTTAACATCAGTTGGGTTACTTGTTTTCACTAGTCGGTTTCTCTCAGTTAGTATTTTACCGCCTTCTGTTTTAAGTGTGTTTTGGAATGAAATAACAATTTCTTGACCGTCGTGGGCGAGGCTGTTAATTTCGGTTTGAATGTCCCTGTCATAATGTAAATTTACTGCAAGACTTGACAGTTTACTAGGAACATCTTGTAGCTGCTGAAATGTAAATCATACAGACACAAACATAAAAAGGTCCAAAGTCCTAAAATCATTTTTAATATGATTTTATACATAGATCAACTGAGGTACTTACTAAGGAAAGATATGCAAAAGATAATAAATTGACCATCTCATTATTAAGCTGGAAATCATATGTCTATGCTATTGCTATTTTTGGAAAGAATCGCGTTCAAGACGTGCAAAACGATTTTCACTTTTGGGTCATTAATCAATTAAAATATTTTTTCTTGAAAAACGGAATGAGACTGGAAGTTATATTCTGTCCCAGAGTGAGAGAATAATCTTAAATTATGCATATAGTCATTGGTCCAGACCTACATCAAATGTACCTTAGTGGAATTCCTTAAAATTAAGAATTGATCATAACAACCTTAATCGTAACAAGGATAATAATAGGACAGATCGTTGTTTCAATTATTTACTTAAGTTGTCTCCCTTGGATTATGTTACACTTCATTAATATTGACCTACTTCCCTTTACTACGTTACTCTTCTGAAATAAACTTGTATCAAGTGTGCTTACCTGTGTATTTCCTAAATGTGTAAAACACCAAACTACAAGGCTAACAACGTACATGTAGTGGTTCATTTTCGTTGACACTTTCAAGCTCTGAAAAATAATCGTTTTAAAACCGAAAGTAAAAACAAGACTAGTATGCATATAATAAAACATTTACATGATTTAGATATAATCATATACAACGTAACGTGTTGAATTTTTTAAATAATTGACATAAAGTGACTTATGGTCCAGTTCTCAACCTTTAAAGAAAATGTTCGAATCCCACTAGGGTCAGCACGTATACATACGACAGTAGACATGCTGTTAATTTGATAAACGAAAATTATCTCCCTTTGTATGTTCGTGTTCTATTGTAACATGTACATTGTATTTATTTCTTCATTATTATTATTAATATCATCATGATAAATTCAGTTAAAGACATGAAGCTGTTATTTGATGACTTCAAAATAATCTTGTTATTAATAACGAATATTCGAAAACGAAACTAGATCCAAAACGAAAGTAGGGATTTATGTTAAAATAATCAACTGAAGTCAGTTCATTATAAATATTATATTGGGGAGAAACATAAAATTCATATAAAACGCTATCAATATGCTTATAATCATAATAAACCAAATCGTAATGCACAGTACTTAACTTCATCAACAAACCGAGTCGGATATTTTCATGATTAATGCTTCCGAGGGATCACATTATCTCCGGATTGTTTTTCGTCAAAAAAATCACAACGATAAATATATCATACCAATTAAGTGGTAACGGGAAATAATAATATATTCTAAATAAGATAAGCAAACAAAACAGTTTACCTCTTTTTTTCAAATAACAACATGAACTAGTAAATTTGCATTAGACTATAACAATTTCCTCTGGTGTCACCAAACTGTAATGTCTATTTTTAACTCTGTTCTGTTTCAGAGCTGGGAATCCATTTGATACCATAAAATGTTTTAAAAATTAGAAAGCTATTAAACTTAATACTAAACAGATAGTAGCAAATAGTTTAATTTACTTAACATTTAAATCACACAGTAAAAAAACACGAGACCGGTTTAATCTCTTTGGATAGCAGGAGTTTTCATAAAGAGCGTTCTGGTCCGCTGACCAAAATTTATTTATATTTAACGTCTTAACGTTAAAATAACATGTATAACTAAATCCAATAACCCACGCATCGTCAAATTCAGGTCAAATAACGTGAACAGTACAGTTTAAAAAGTGGAGGTTGTAGGAAACAATCTATTTATTTATTTATTTAGTATGCTCCCCGAAAAATTTCGGGGGAGCATATAGTCGCCGCCTTGTCCGTCCGTCCGTCCGTCCGAGCAAACATTTTGGGTTTAGGGGCTATATAACAGTAAAGAGAACAAAAGAGAACAATAGGTCCATTCCTTGATCAAAGGGTTTATGGGCTAGTAGCCCTTAAGAAAACAAAGAAAATAACAAAGAAAAAAGCCCCTTAACCCATATCCCGTCCGTCCGTCCGTCTGTCCGTTCGTCCGTCCGCTTTTCTTGTCCGGGACATAACTTTGAAAAAACAAGAGGTATCAACATGAAACTGTGTAGGTAGATAGATCTCATTGAGTAGGTGTGCAGTGCACAAGAACCGTACCTCTGCCTTGCCTAATTTTTGAATTATCCCCCTTTGTTTATTTTTACACTTAACCTTGTCCGGGACGAACATTGTCCGGGACATAACTCTTAATATATAAAAGGTATCAACATGAAACTTTGTAGATAGATAGATCTCATTGAGTAGGTGTGCAGTGCACAAGAACCGTAACCCTGCCTTGCCTATTTTTTGAATTATCCCCCTTTGTTTATTTTTACACTTTGAACTTTGTCCGGGGCATAATTCTAAAACTACAAGAGGTATCAACATAAAAAATGTGTAGGTAGATAGATCTCATTGAGTAGGTGTGCAGTGCACAAGAACCGTAACTTTGCCTTGCCTAATTTTTGAATTATACTCCTTTGTTTATTTTTACACTTAACTTTGTCCGGGACGAACTTTGTCCGGGACATAACTCTAAAACTATAAGAGGTATCAACATGAAACTTTGTAGATAGATACATGTAGATCTCATTGAGTGGGTGTGCAGTGCACAAGAACCGTAACTCTGCCTTGCCAAAATTTTTAATTATCCTCCTTTGTTTATTTTTACACTTAACTTTGTCCGGGACGAACTTTGTCCGGGACATAACTTTAAAACTAAAAGAGGTATCAACATTAAACTTTGTAGATAGATACATGTAGATCTCATTGAGTGGGTGTGCAGTGCACAAGAACCGTAACTCTGCCTTGCCTAATTTTTTAATTATTCCCCTTTGTTTATTTTCACACTTTGTCCAGGACATAACTCTTAAACTATAAGAGGTATCAGCATGAAACTTTGTGGGTAGATAGATCTCATTAAGTAGGTTTGCAGTGCATAAGAACTGTTACAATGTCTTGCCTAATTTTGGAGTTATTGCCCTTTGTTCATTTTGACACTTTGTACTTTGTCCGGGACATTACTCTAAAATTATAAGAGATATCAACATGAAACTTTGTAGATAGATAGGTCTCATTGGGTAGAAGAGCAGTGCTAAAGAATCATTACTCTGCCTTGCCTTATTTTGAAGTTATTGCCCTTTGTTTATTTTTACTTTTTGACTTTTATCCGGGACATAACTCTAAAACTATTAGAGATATCAACATGAAACTTTGTAGGTAGCTAGATATCATTGGATGGAACTGCACTGCTTAAAGAACCTAAACAAAGCCTTGTCTAATTTTGGAGTTATTGCCCTTTGTTAATTTTTACACTTTGAATATTACCCGGGACATAACTCTGAAACTATAAGAGATATCATCAGGAAACTGTATAGATAGATAGATCTCATTAAATAGAAGTGCAGTGCAAAAGAACATAACTCCGCCTTGCCTAATCTAATTTTGGAGTTTTTGCCTTTTTTTCTTTTTTATACTTGCCTGTGTCCAAAACCTTCTCGGGGAGCATCACCCGGTTCAACCGATTCTTGTTTATTTATTTATTTATTGATTTTTATCATATTTTGTGAAATTTAAACACTATGTGTGTTTGTGCATGCGAATCACTCATTGTACGACATCATTTAAAATATTACAATTTCGTCGTGATTACCCGTACCCGATCGGGCCGTAATTTTGCATATAATCAAGAACTATATACTATCATTACCTCTTTTCGTTAACTAACGAAAAAACTGCCGGCAATTAATCAGTATCAGGTCAATATTACCAAACAATATATATGCACCACAGTGTAAAATGTATTTTCTTTATATTTGTTAGCTTAATAACATAAATGTTTATGTAGCATTTTCATATAATTTATATATGTTTTACAGTAGGAATATTGTAGGAACATTTACAGTGATTTGCATTTTAATGACACTATTGCTTTGATAATGAGAACAAAATAATTGCAGTATGACTGGGCATTGTAACTAAGAATATTTAAAGTTTGAATAAGCTTTAATCTTTCTTAGTTGGGAAGTACCCAAATTATTTGTTGTGTTAGTACTAGTATACTATTGTGACTTAGTGTTTATGTTGTAAATATTTGCCTCAGTTCTCTGGTGAGTTGAACCGCTGCTTGAATTATGTCCAGTATAGACATATACCGCCACTTGACATGCCTAACTATCATCAAACATATTCCGCAGACAACATGCTCCACATATTGCCGTGCCTTCTGGAGATCGAAAAGTTTCCTAATGACATTTTCCGTTACATGCCGTGTTTAACGATGACCAGAGAGGCGTCTTTACTCAATATTTTCCGCAGACGACACGTTTTGTCGCTTGCCGTGCCGAGGTCCAATTAAACATTTTAATGCCGTGCCTTACTAAGATCTAGCAGGCGTCTTAACTCGACATAGTCTGCTCCTTGCCGTGCCTATGAAAATCAAAAAAGGCGTTTTAATAATGACATTTTCCGACACTTGCCTGCCTCGAGGAGACAATTTGATAACAAGTAGCAGAATAAATTTTCATTCAAATACAATTAAAACTGTGCAAATATCACTCCAACAAATGCCACCTTTTAACCTGGAACTTTTATTTTTATCTTAACAGAGTGAAATATTTTATCAAAAGTCTCATTTAAATACACATGACATATATAGACAAGTAAATTATTATATCGCTAGTAACAAGTAATAGTACTTTTCCCATGCGTTTCCATATGTTTGACAGATTGTCTTTTTCAGCGTATCATTTTCGCTGAAATAATTATATATTATAAATATATTAGAAATGTTTCCTTAAACCTAAAGCTTAAATTAAGGCATGCATTTTATAAAAGCCCTCATGAAACGAATATGAGGGGTAGCATAACTTTAACAAAACTTTATTTAGATATGTACATTAAGCACATTACGCGATTAAGTTTCGCGTAATTGCACGTTATCTTGCGCAGATTGTTAGTTATTTTATACGAATATGCTAAAACGGTAGTCACGTGATGATAAAAACATCATAAAATTTTGTTAATGATAGTGTATAACAAAATTTTGAGAAGTTTTGTTAAATGAGAGTACATGTATCTTGCAAAGACGAACAACTAGGAAAATAGTTTGTCAGTTTATAGTTTAATAAGCTTCCAATATTTTGCAATTAATCGGAGTTATTTTATACAAGTCACCATAAATACAAGGATGTTACTCATTTACATTTTGATCAGCGTTCTACCATTTATGTTAACAATGGAGTGTGGTCATCAGCAGAATTTAATATACGTAAAAATTCCACAATACAGAGAGTTGATGTCTCTAACAGAGTTTGACAAATATGTAAGTATATTTTAATGTCCAGGTTAGATACTTGCGGGATATATTATACATGTATGTCCAAGACAATCGTCATTCAGTTAAACACATTTTGACAAATTATCTTATTATGAAATACCATCATTTATTAATGTGGGTACAATGAGGAAAATTTGCCTAACAGCTGTCAGCCTGAAGTTTCCGTAATTTTTTTTATTATGATTTACGCTAAGTATTTTCATAATACTAAAGTTCTCTATGTTAAATCAATAACGCAAGTTCGAATTTTGCACAAACCTTTATTTTTTAAGTATTCATAGTTTCAATATGTACGACTTACATGGTGATTCGCATGCCTAACACATAATAGTAAATATTTGCAAAATATAATAAAATTCATACAAGGAAAAAAAATGATCCGGACCTACACTCTTCAGTTTGAAACTAACTGAAAGTCTTACATCTTGTAAGGGAAATTCTACGTTATATACCGTTATATACGGTGTTCCATTTAGACAATCGTGATTTTTTGTTTAGTCTGTAACAGCGATGCACGATGACACGATGGTGAAAACGCGATGGAACGATAGTAAGATGGTGAAAACACGATGGAACGATGGTTCGATGGTGAAAACGCGATGGCACGATGGTGAAAAAACGCGATGGTACGATAGTGAAAGCACGATGGAACGATGGTGAAAACGCGATGGTACGATTGTAAAAAACGCGATATAACACCGCGTTTTCACCATCGTACCATCGCGACATCGCGATTTCACCATCGTACCATCGTGTTTTCACCATCGTACCATCGTGTTTTCATCATCGTGTCATCGTACCATCGCGCTTTCTCCATCGTACCATCGTGCATCGCGGGTAGGGAAGAAATAAAAAAAAAACACGGAACACCGTAGTTATATCATATATTAAAATCCATGTTGTTTACATCGGAACCCGATGATTACCGACAAATGTCATTGAATATTCAAATGTCTCAGGGAAATATTGCCAAACAATAACAAACTGTACTCGTAATGTATAAAAGTTGCAAAATTTTTTTTTGTTTACAAGTAGAAAACACGCATATATTCCATGCCAGTAGTCTTACCTATTGTATTAAAGCAGGAGAAATAAGCTGGTCTCACGTTCCAATGGCTTATGATTTTACTTGTTTAATATAATTGTTTTTACATTATTAAGATCTGTGTTGTGTTCCGTTCGAATGATTTCATTCTATATATTTACTATTACAGGTTGTTAACTATGAGGTGTCGAGGATGTATGTTGGAATGATGAGTGCTCGCATCCCTCACCTCAACTACTACAGTATAATCAAAAACCTTACTGGTACCAGCAACTACAGACTGGACACGTTCGGAGAGTTCGTACCAAAACTTTAATCGTTTCCTCACTCCTGATCCCACTTAGTCCCGCCCATCGTTTTCTTGTTTAGTGCAGACACATTATTATACTTAGGGCCAATACGCCGCTTGTCATGGAATAGTACGAAAGTGTCACATTTAAGGTTCCATGATAATCGTCGTAAAAGCACATCTGCGACTAATGTTGAATAATGAATTCTGCTTTTTAATGTTGAATTCTGATTAAGCCGGTACTAGGCGCGTGCACTTTACATTACCGTCCATGAACCGGCTCAATCACATCGAGTCTGCACGTTTTGGACGTTCTTTATACTGCCCTCACACATACCTCGCGACCTTACTGCGTCCTTACTGCGACCTTGCTACGACCCAGAACGCAGCACAGTCGCCATGGACGCAGCAGGGACGCAGCGAGGTCGTAGCGAGGAACCCAAGGACGCACAAGGTCGCAGACCGTCGGCGACTATTTTGAACATGCACAAAACAGTCGCAGAAACTCTGCGTTCTTGCTGAGTCCTGGTTAGGTCGCCGTGGGATCGCAGTGGAGTCGCCATAGTCGCAGCAGCATCGTAGTAAGGACGCAATAAGAACGCAATAGACGTAGTACACTCGTACTAAGGACGCCGTAAGGTCAGACTCAGAATGAAATTTACTGGTAAAAAGTATTGTTTTTATAGACGTAGCAAGAACGTAGTAGGGTCGTCGTACAGTCGCAGGACAGTCGCCGGACAAACGCAATAGTCGTCGTAGAGTCGCCGTAAGGACGCAGAGAACATAGCACAGTCGCAGCTGGGTCGCCGATGATCGCCGTGGGGTCGCCTTGGGGACGCAATACAGTCGCAGTGGAAACGCCATGGACGTAGAAGGGTCGTATTGAGGACATAGAGAAAACGTACTGAACACAAGACTGCAGAGCCCCGGACCGTCTGCGAGAGAAATTTGAAAGAAAACCAACGATTTTCGAAAGAAAAATGCTATTTTACTAGTTTTCAGGTCGCAGTAAGGTCGTGGTTTATGTGTGAGGGCACCATTAGGGATTCCGTTTTTCTCCATTTAATGCTAGACAAAATAATCATTTACTTTATCTTTATATAAGCATAATATACAAAAGCAATTTCAGATTATCTAGTAGTTTTAATTATTCTTTTTTAAATCACACATATGACTTTGAATAATGATAGATAAATAAATCAGGACACGAATTCTTTTTCATTTTTATCTTTTAGAACAACGGATGTAATCCCACAATGCAACAGGTCAAGTACCGTCCTTATACCAGCATCAACGTCCCTCACGTCACCCGAAGCAATTTTCAAACTAGAAGAAAGTATGCACTTTAGTGACATCAGTGGTTAAATATAAATTAGCTTTTCTTATGTACAAATTTAATTAAACCTGATTAATACTTTCTATGTAAAATAAACAAGATAACTCATTTCCCTCACTGAAGCTTTTACTCTGTATACAGTTTAACTGTTAGGTAAGTACATAAATACCGGCAACAAACAGTTTGATGAGGGAACATCTCCAACAAAAGACATGATGACATTATGTTACGGCGTAATCAAAAGTTTGAAAAGTTCTAATAGTTTGATCAAAGTACAGCAAGGCGAAGTTAAGGGGTCGGATTGATTCAAAACAGTTACTTTCTTTTTCCGTAAGCCAATCGGCTTTTGATCCATTACATGAAAGAATCTAAAGTCAACGGCAGGATTTGAACGCACAACTGTAAGATGCAGTTGGGATACCTAGACATTTGCCGACAGTTGCCCGCCGGAAGTTTGCCAAATATTTTATGAGAACGATTAATAAATGATTATTCCACTGTAAAATAAATTTCACTAGTCTTGCAATGTATCTATTACCTAGCTGATGTCATTGTTACGTTTTGGTCTAGCTGTCCAACACGATATTTGTGGTACATGAAGTGTGCCAGATACACCGGCAAAAACAAGTGTCATCTGCAGGATGTTACATTTGGTGCGTATTTCGTTTCATTTCTTTTCTGAACTTAATATGTATTTAAATAATTGATTAAAGGTAAGTAAAACGCCTAATGGTTTTTTACATCGACTTTTAAGATAAGCTACCCTTTGTCATTGTGCATATATATTGTAAATGAGTTATGTCTTGGAAACTTTTAAAAGTTACCAACACTAAAAGTGTTAGAGAAATAAAATAGCATATGTGAGCCATAATGGGCTTTTAACTTTAATTCCTGGATACCGAGATTGTTGTTTTCAGAGTTATATGTTAAAACAAGTTTAGATGACATTCCAATTACTGATATTGGGGAGGACTTATGTCGTACTACTGGTGTTAGATTTGGAGCCAATAACTTCAGATGGGTCTTCACTTACGGCGAAAATAGTTAGTTATAGTACCAATTATTAAACTAAATCTATAAAGTAAATAACTAAAATAACATTACAGTTTAAGAATAGTAATGAAAATAAGATAATAAGAAACAATATATATTCACAGTTAACACAAAGTAGTCACAGCTTGTTTTCATTCAGTTCTTTTGTTTAATACATATATATTCGTCATGTGAATACTTATCACGTTTTGTTTATGTGGATACTTTTCACGTTTTGTTAATGTGGATAATTTTCACGTTTTGTTTATCATGTTTTGTTTATATGAATAATAAGATATGAAAACTTTTATTTCAGCAAAATGTCGAGACATCTAGTTACAACAACGACCAGTGTTGTTTCAGATATAGAAGCTATACTTAATAATCCGGACTGATCAGATGAAAAGTATTTAACTGCAGACCATTACATATTATACTAGTAACAACAATATTAAACTGTACCAATAAACATTCCGTTTTAATTAAAGTGTTGTTCTATTTTGCGAGTTTTTTGTTGTTGTTTTTTTCTTTTTCTAATATTTTATAATATCTGCAAATACAATAGTTTTCTTTTGTTACTGACATTGGTGGTAACTTAGCGGGTACATATATAGTAGTTATCATGGTAATCTTATAGAGGATGACAAATGATGATGATAATGACGATGATAATGATGATGATGATGATGAAGATGATAATGATGATAATGATGTTGATGATGATGATGATGAACATGAATGTGATGATGATGAGGAGGAGGAAATAATTGATGAAGTAATAGGGATAGTTGAAATAATATTATTAGTGTTGATGATATTTTATTCGTTATAAATACCATATAATAATGTAAACGGTATATGAGATGAGATAATAATAATCATGATAATGATTATACAAAATTATTGTCACAGAAACTGGTACTAGTATATCCTAGAAACTATCCGATAACTAACCCGATAGAAGATGACAAATAACGATGATGATGATGGTGGTTGTAATGGTGGCGAGGAGGAAAAGATTGATATCGAAATAGCGATAGTTGAAATGATATTATTGTGTTGATGATTATATTTTATTCGTTATAAATATCATATATTGATGTAAACGTTTTATCGAATGAGATAATAAAGATCATGATAATGTTTGTACAAGGATTATTAAGAAGGAAATGTGTCATACCAAATCTGTTTCCGTTGCAGTCTGCTAAATAGTGTTGAAGACATGGTTTGTACACAACGCTGACTGAAATACTGATATTTCATCTTTTTAAGTGCGTGCGCATTCAATTATATAATGGCTAACATGTTCTCAAATTTAATTTGTTTACGATCATACTATAGTTTCGAACCCGCACACTTAGATCTGTATGTAATAGCGCCGGTCTTAGGATTGCGGAGTCGCGAGTTCGGTCCTCAGGCGGGCCATGTTCTCCAAGTCGATTTGATAAAACATTGTGCCTGACATCGTTTGACCTCCACCTCTAATTCATGTGGGGAGTTTGGCAGTTACTTGCTGAGCATATATATGTACGGATACAGAATCTAGGAATACATACTAGGTTAACTGCCCACCGATACATAACTGAAATACTGTTGTAAACGGTGTTACACCCCAGTGTTAAACAAATAAATACAGTTTCCACATTTCTGTATTTAGTTTATATGTTGTCATTTCTAAATGTGACGAGTCTTTATAAGCAGGACAATTTGTAAGTGATGTTTATGTATGATTAAGAGTTTGTATTAAGAGCAATAACATGACACAGTCATGTTAAGTTTTGTTTACATGTACACATTGTGAGGGTGACTGGTATATTGCACCAATTTAACATTAAAATTTCGAAGAATAAAGGTAAAGGTGAAAAATTTATAACTAATCTTCATAATGGTATAGACCGAACTACACCTGTTTTTGCTTTAAGGTCGACACTAAGTTTGATTTAAACCACTGGTATGCTTTTTGTACATGAATGAAACCTTGGTATCGTAATTTGCAGACATGTATTGATCATGCAATGTTTTAATTTGTATTATCAAAAGTTTTGTAACGTGTAAATAGCGGAAGGTTAAAACGTAAAGAGTTGCAAAATTGTGATTTTTGAACGCTGTTACTCGTTATGTGACAAATTAATCTGTATTTGCTGCGTTCATTTATCTATATTTTTTTACAAGACTCAAGTTCTGATAATAATCAAAATATATACACAATCGTGTTGTCAATATATTTATGAACACTTTGATATCTAATATGCTAATATTTTTCTTAAATAAGTATATTAAACTTCCCTGTAACTAAGCACACATCCTTTTGCAACTCAGTATAATCTGAAATAAAGAAAAACAAACCTTCTTCTATATCGATTATTGGGGTCTTATTTTTAAAATGAATGCAATAAAAAAGCAGTTACCGCATATAAATTTTTAAATACTGACATTTTATTTTAAAAGAAAAACCATTTTAAAATTGCCGCGTTTCACTTATGTAAATTAATGTTATAGCAATCGGAACATCTCAGCAGTTTTCGGAAGATTGATTTTATTGTGTGTAGTTTAAAAATAGAACACGCACATAGTACTTAATGTACTTAATGGTGAGAAACTATGTCACGAATGTTTTCACCAAAAACTAACTACCACGTTTAAACTATGTATTTAATATTCCTGTAAATTTGGGACAAAAATAAGGGAAAACTTTTTTTTCAATATTTTTGGGGTAAAAAGAGGGGGGAAAAAATTTTTCATAGGTTTTAACGCTCAGAAAAACGACAATTTTGAACTTTAAAATTTGGGTGAAGTCGTCACAACAATACCTACAATTGGATTTAATGTTGAAACTTTAAAATTTACAAATGTGAACATGACAGCTTGGGATGTCGGTGTTAGAGATAAAAGTCGGGCTTTGTTGAGGCACTATTATACAAATACACAGGGACTTGTTTATGTGATAGACAGTCATGATAGGGAAAGGTTTGTATTATATAAACTATAATAATTGTGTACTGATATCAGGATGTCGAGCGTGAGAAGGTTCGATATAATCATAAAATGGCGAACAAAGCGAAATCGAAACTCGTTATAATCTTTTCCAATAATTGCTCTACATTTTATATTTTACTTCCTGTTTGATATACATAATCTTTGTTTAATTATAGTTCACTCTGCCTTTTTCTGTGCTTATGCTATCTGAACAACATCGGGAGATTTTCAAATTTTTGCCCCGCTTATCTGTATATTTTGACATTCTGCACAATATCTTTTAAGTAAAATCATTAAGTGAAACTATTACTTAGTTAATATGGCAGTGCCAAAATATGGAGAGTTAAGCTCCGCCTACTTGAATATTCGACACGTCATCTATGACTATTACACTCGACACAGTAAGACTATGGCACCCAACCCAAGTAAGACCTTGACACCCGACCCGAATAAGAATATGACACTCGACCCAAGTAAGACTATGACACCCGACCCAAGTAAGACTATGACACCCGACCCAAGAATGACAGTGCCACTCGACCCAAGTAAGACTATAGCATCCGACCCAAGTAAGACTATGACATCCGACCCACGTAAGACTGCGACACCCGACCCAAGTAAGACTATGAACCCCGACCCAAGTAAGACTATGACACCCGACCCAAGTAAGACAATGCCACTCGACCCAAGTAAGACTATGGCATCCGACCCAAGTAAGACTATGACACCCGACCCACGTAAGACTGTGACACCCGACCCAAGTAAGACTATGACATCCGACCCAAGTAAGACTATGACATCCGACCCAAGTAAGACTATGACACCCGACCAAAGACTACGACACTTATCCAAAGTAAGACTACGGCACCCTCTCAAACTAAGACTATGATACCCGACCCAAGTAAGACTATGACACCTGACCCAAGTAAGACAATGCCACTCGACCCAAGTAAGACTATGACATCCGACCCAAGTACGACTATGACACCGACATCCGACCCAAGTAAGACTATGACATCCGACCCAAGTAAGACTATGACACCCGACCAAAGACTACGACACTTATCCAAAGTAAGACTACGGCACCCTCTCAAACTAAGACTATGACACCCGACCCAAGTAAGACTATGACACCTGACCCAAGTAAGACAATGTCACTCGACCAAAGTAAGACTATGACATCCGACCCAAGTACGACTATGACACCAGACCCAAGTAAGACTGTGAATACCCGACCCAAGTAAGACAATGACATCCGACCCAAGTAAGACTATGACTTCCGACCCAAGTAAGACTATGACATCCGACCTAAGTAAGACTGTGACACCCGACCCAAGTAGGACTGTGACACCCGACCCAAGTAAAGACTATTACATCCGAACCAAGTAAGACTGTGACACCCGACCCATGTAAGACTATGACATCCGACCCAAGTAAGACTATGACATCCGACCCAAGTTAGACTATTACACCCGACCAAAGACTACGACACTTATCCAAAGTAAGACTACGGCACCCACTCAAAGTATGACTACGGCACCCACTCAAAGTACGACTATGACACGTGACCAAAGTAAGACTATGACATCCGACCCAAGTAAGACTATGACGTCCGACCCAAGTAAGACTATGACATCCGACCTAAGTAAGACTGTGACACCCGACCCAAGTAGGACTGTGACACCCGACCCAAGTAAGACTATTACATCCGAACCAAGTAAGACTGTGACACCCGACCCATGTAAGACTATGACATCCGACCCAAGTAAGACTATGACATCCGACCCAAGTTAGACTATTACACCCGACCAAAGACTACGACACTTATCCAAAGTAAGACTACGGCACCCACTCAAAGTATGACTACGGCACCCACTCAAAGTACGACTATGACACGTGACCAAAGTAAGACTATGACATCCGACCCAAGTAAGACTATGACATCCGACCCAAGTAAGACTGTGACACCCGACCAAAGTAAGACTGTGACATCCGGCCCAAGTAAGACTGTGACACCCGACCCAAGTAAGACTATGACATCCGACCCAAGTAAGACTATGACACCCGACCAAAGACTACGACATTTTTCCAAAGTAAGACTACGGCACCCACTCAAAGTAAGACTATGACACCCGACCAAAGTAAGACTATGACATCCGACCCAAGTAAGACTATGCCACCCGACCAAAGTAAGAAAACTAAGACACCCGACCAAAGACTACAACACCCGACAAAAGTAATACTTCGACAATCGACCACAGTGAACTACGACGCCCGACCAAAGTAAGCTAAGACACCCCACCAAAGTAAGACCAAGATACTGGACCAAAGTGAGACTATGACACTCGACAAAGTAAGACTACTACTACCTACCCAAGTAAGACTACGACACTTATCCAAAGTAAGAATTATACACCCGACTAAAGTAAGACAACGACAATCGACCAAAGTAAGACTACGACACCTGACCAAAGTAAGAGCAAAGTAAGACTTAGACATCCGACCAAAGTAAGACTAC